CCAACAGAGCAGACTCTGAACATGGCATCTGCAGCCACCACGGTGCGCGGCGTTGCCTCAGAGCCAGGTGCAAGTGAGCCAAGCTTGAAAGTTACCCTTGCCCACTAACTAATTTGTGGAGGAGTCTACCCACACGTCCCAAGTCACCCAGGCTGGAGGGGAGCTCAGGAGGTCTCAGTCCAACCTCCTCCCCGAAGCAGGCTCAGCTGTCAGCTCAGACCAGCTCACTCAGGGCTTTGCCCTCTTTAAAATCTCCTCAAAAGGAGACTGCACAACCTCTCCGGGCAGCCTGTTCTGAGCCTGACTATCCTTACGGTGACCTGCTTGAGCTATAGACAAGGAAGTCATCTCCTGGAGCCCGCAGCAGGAAACACACAGGATGGACAGCTCTATGCATCGGACCGTCACCAAGAGGCCCCCTGTGTCCCGCCAACCATAATTGTGGAAGCTTCCAATTCCAGCTGTATGGGTCAGGAGCAGACTTTCTCTGTAGAAAATCCTATTTCCAGGATGACAGCAGGCAGACCTGGTCAGCTGCTGAATCTAACCAGTGGTGCAGGTCTACTGCTGCTGCCTCAGGTAGCAGCATCCAGGCAGAGTGACGGAGCTTCAAGTACCAGACCATGCTCTAATGACACCACAGAAACGATAATTAATTTTTGCTGTTTCTTTCTTATTAATTCTTTTTTGAATTAAGTCAGAAATACATTTTTTCTGGACTATGTTAAAGGTTTTTCTAATACGGTACAGCAAAGTAACTATTAAAAGTTGATAGAGTACTATTCTATAATGAAATACATACTGAGAACATTAAAGACATGGTACCCTTTAAAAAATAAAAAATGCTCATAAACATATTTGCTAGGTCTCTAAAGACAGTGGTAATACCGCAGGAATTGGGAAGAGATCTATGATTTGCCTCTCTAGTTAATGTGGGCACAGCCAAAGAGATACGGGCATATTTTACTGGTAGAAAGAGAATATCTTAAACACTGAGCAGGTAATAAAACATACAATTTAGTAAAGGATAAGAACAGAAAACAAGTAGGTGCACGCATATGCAAGAAGACCCTCTGTAAGCGTCCTTGTCTCTGCAGCCCCACATAAATGCCGCCCAAGGCGGCATTGGACAGCCCTCATATGTGTTATCAACAGCTCTGAAATTTGTAGTGCGCCTCTGACCAGCCATAATGTCATCATCTGTGAGTGCTAATTTGGGATTTATAACTGAAACTCTGGCCATACTGCCAATGGGACTTTTGCCATTTATTGAAATGTGGCCAGGCTCCGGCCGTAAAAAGCAATGTCGCTGTGGTGTCAGTGCAGCATGCCAGCACACTCAGTCTTGTCCGAAGTTATGCCTGATATGCCCTGCTGAATAACCAAATGTAAAAGGGAAATTAAAAAAGAAGTGTTTCATATTCTGCAGAAGTAAGCTGCAGTTTAGAAAGGCAGCTCTGGGGCTGTGGTAGGTGACTGGGAATCTGTAAATCGGCCTCTCAGCTCCTGCTTTTGCCAGAGAACTACAGCAGAACTTTGTGCAAACTGATTAATTTCCTCATCTTCTCCAAATGGAAAAATACCCTTCCCATAAGCGTGTGAAGCTAGCTCAACCGATATTTTTAAAGTGTCTTTTGATTCTCCAGTACAAGGCTCTTCTAATAATTGTTCTTATATTTGACAAATGTGCACTGACTGTCAGTACTTCTGTGGTTAAAGTCTATAAATCACTATTCAGTGACCAGATTTTCGCTGCGATATGAGACAAGAGACCTGAAGGCGTACTCTCAACATGGGAATTTCAGCCACCAGCTTTTTAAGAAATGCACAACAGTAACCAGCTTACTGTAAAAACAGAGGTTTCTGCAGAAACCCAATCATAGCTGCAGAATGCTTTCATTTCTTGTCCAATCAACCAGAAAATTGTTTGGAAATACGTAACCAGTTTCTTCATGCCCCCGCCTGTACACAGCGCTGAGGCTGCACGGTGCTTTCAGGAATATCAAAGCTTCCATAAATACAGGAAATGAGCCCAGCCAGAGCAAAGCTCAGCTCTCCTGAGAGCCAGAGAGTGGCTCAACTGCTGCATTTTCTCTCTATCCAAAACCAGTGTTTGGCTCTTTCCCAAATTCTTTTACATAATCCAGTTCTGTTACCAAACATGTCAGTTTAACCAGTATTCAAATCAACCTCCTCTATGTTTTGAACTGGATTTTCAAACTCCAAGCAGGATTCTGTGCTTCAGCTGCCAACTTTTTTTTGCAGTGGCACTCAAGACTATTTTGGAGATATAAAATCCCAAACAAAATACCAGACAGTTAGATAATTTAGCGAATATATCAAATTACTGCTTTCATTATGTCCCAGTCAGCTTATAAACTAGCTGCTTCTCCTCTGAAGACCTTAATTGCAAGCTTCGTCCTCAACTGAAACTCGCCTTCAGCAGAGATGGCCAGATAGCACTGTGCAGTCCTGCACAGAAGAGGAAGGGGAGCAGGATAAACACAGGGCGGGACTGAAATATTTCACAGCATTATGTTAAGACGTTAGCACACTCTGCTTTTATTTCTTGATAGAGCTGCTTATTGGCAGCAATACCATGCATTCGCAAAGATTATAAAAATCTCTTAGGGAATATATTTATGCAAATTTATTTTGTATTTTTCTTAAATTCTTTTCTTCCTTTTGTTCTTTCTTACTCTCTCTACACTTCTCCCTCACCAATACTGTAAAACTTTAGGAACTTCATGAGAGGGCACAGTGTTACCAAGTTTTCATTAAAACCCAGGGGCTGATATAGAAATCCTAACCATAACTTTGGACTCATGGGTAGAGATTTACACATACTTTGAACCTGAAAACTTTGGTTGCCTCACACTGCCTGCTTTTGGCTCACCAGATTTTTTTGTAATAAACCAGGAAGACCACTGAAGGAAGCTCACCATTCACAATTGCTTCTCTGTGAAACTCAGGGCATCCTGGCTATTGCAAACCTCAACAGCAACTAAACATGCCTGAACCTGGTCATGCAATTACTGTTGCTTTGTCCAAATTCAAAGCTATGAGAGCTCAGATCTGTGGTCAAATCAAATTAGTAAAAGTAATGTATTTTTCAACTCTGCTGTCACCTGTATAACCTTCTTATTTGCATATATATTTTCATGCCCGCATTTTATGAAGATTTGGGTATTTGATATTAGAATCATTAAAATCTGTGTTTCACACAAAAATGTGTCTGCTTGTATAAAAAGGTAAATGAATTTTAGAAAAAGATAACTGGTTAATTCTGAGTAGCCATATGTAGATCAGTACACTTGCATGTGTACCCTAACAGTGACAAAGAAGGAATAATGGCAGAAAACGCGAGGCTCTTGGGTGAGGTATTCATAAAAGGAGAGAAAGCATTATATTATATTCAATTATGTAACAAGAAGAGATTAATATTGTAACCTAAATAGACACAATTCTGCTGAACATCTCATTTTTTTTTAAAGCGGGACAATTTATTTTACACTAAGAATTTTAAGTTATTCAGTAAGACAAAGTGGATTTCATAGGTTTTATGCCCTACTTTAAGTCTTTGTGAATGATTAATAGAGACAGATCTTATCTGACTCTCTTAAAGATAGATTCTTGCCATTGTTCAAACCAGGATTAAATAACATCATTATACCTTTTCTCTTCTCCTAGTTCTGGAGAAGATTTGAAAGAAAGTGATGTCTTGATTGATGTGAACTCAAAAATCTATCCTGAGGAGAAAATCTAGGATTTTATCATCAAAGACACAAAAAATAGGTTATTACCTCTCACAGTTCAAGGATTCTTCTAGCAGATGCAACGGTGATCTTGACACAACTTACAATCAAAATGACATGCATGCTGCTGGTTTAGTTTTATGCATACTAATAACATTTAAATACTTTATATAATCATATATGTTTCAGAATGAAAATAAAATAAAAAGTAATTTCCTCTTGTAATATTGTCACCGTGCAGTTTTTCTAAGACCCCCTTTTCTAAGCTTTTCCAGGAGGTTTTATTATTATTTGTGGCAAAGTCTAATGCTATTCCAAAACACACTCAGGATTTTGGGGTGCTTTTTTTGAAGGAGGGAAAAAGAGTAGAAGTCATTTAGGTGCTGTCAAGAATAGCAAAATGGAGTTAGTGGTGATGGGTCAGTTACACAGCTGAGATAATGCTTACTTCTTTTGCAATGACTGCTTCGTAACTGTGTAAAATTTTGTTTAACTGACACAGTTCATGGACTATTAGGAAATGGCTTTGGATTGGTTTTCAGAAGTACTGTGAACAGGAAGTTTCCCAAAATACGAATTTTTTGCCTAGCAACCCAAGCCCCTATAATTAGACCCTTAGATACAGACTATAAATGATGATGACAAGATACAAAGAAGGAATCTGGGGAAGAAACACTTGTTTTAGATTTATTTACATTCCTTGCTTGCTGTTAAAAGTACTGACTGTTACAAACAAAAATATACTTTACCTGCCTGTACTGAATCCTGATAAGTTAGCATACCATTTCATAAAGGAACGCGTTCAATAGAGTGATAGATAACTGTACAGCAATTTATATCCATCAGCAACAGCAACCGAGAATTACTGTGGCACAGTCATAAAAGAAAACAGAAAAGTACGGTTCTCACAGCGTTACTCTACGATTCCATTCAGACATAATTTAGATGAAGAACTATTTACGCACGTTCGGATAACGAGAATTTTGAACAAAAAGATGTACTTTGGAGCAATACCATTCATCAAGATATAGCTTAGGAAAATTAATGAGAAGTTAAGAATTTCTCCCATTTTTATTTAGTAACGTCCATGACGTTATCTGTCCCATAGACTTAAACAAAAAAACCCAACAACCCGTATGAGCCTGCTACAAAAGACGTGATTTACAAGAGGCTTTGACAACCTTTGCCAATTTCCCCTCTGCGCGATTTGGGCTCTCGGGACACCAAACGCGCCTCCAACGCCAGGCGGCTCCCGCGGGGGCGGCTGGCAGCGCCGCACGAACCCCGCAGCGGTCGAGCAAACGCGTCCCAGGACGTGCTTTACCGGGGCACGCCCGGCCTCTCGGGACACCTCGGTACCGCCTGCCGCCGGCCCCCACCGCC